TATGCTACAGCGAATGAGAAACGCGATCAGCTGGTCCACCTCAATTTCAATTGACCACCTTTCGTACTTGTGGACTGGTAGCTCGATGGGGATACGCCCACCGAAGGGAGGTGACAACTCCTGTAAGACGGAGGTAAGTCACGCCTCGCGTAGTGCCTATCCTGTCGTAGGGACTCGCGAGATGTAGGGCTGGAGCGGCTTGCGGAAGGTCAATATGCATTCGTGACGAGGATTAAGACTAATGCGCTCGACAGCGTCACGAACCCCAAAAATTGGACGCTCTAAGCGGGTCATTAATTTCTGCGAGCAAATGTAGAGGATGGAATCTTAAACTACGAATGAATTTTCACTTAGTCGTTGACGAATTCCTTAATATATAAGACTCTGAGGACCTTGCCCCGCATTGAGCTTGACAAATGTGATGCATCGCACAGTTCGCACTCGCGCAGATGTGAGTCACGACAATTGTCGTGCATCTTTATCCGTCAATACGACAGTTGAGCGCAAAATAAAATCAATGCGCAGGGGTAAAGGCGAGTGAACAATCACACTAAAGACGCCAACGGTCATTAACGGTCATCACCGCATTATATGAGATTGCAACTGGATTCGATCACCCATGACATACCCGTTGTCGACCCCTTTTAGGAAAACGGTTCGGGCATCAGACATTATATGACATTGCAACGGTGGGTTGTTAGGGATGGTGGCGAGCGGAGGCGGAAACACAGCGGGGGGGGGAGGAGAGAGAGAGAGAGAGAGAGAGAGAGAGAGAGAGAGAGAGAGAGAGAGAGAGAGAGAGAGAGAGAGAGAGAGAGAGACTCTAGTTGAACAGCGAGTAAATTCGCAGTTTTCGGTGTTCGACAGAGCACCTTCACGAAGTGTCAAACACTCATTGGTCGTCTTTCCGGATTGCCATTTGCACTCGGACGGGAACGTTAATGCAAGGTTGATGTCAGGTCGTGATCTGTTTGGTGACTGACCACCTTTAAGAACTGGCAGTCCACCTTCAAGAAGTGTCAAACAGTCGTTGGTGATGGCTGTGTATTTGTTTCCCGCACGTTATCAGTTGTCGGTGCGGATTGCCATTAGCACTCCGAGGGAATTTGCATGTCTGCAGCGTGTGAGGTCCTTCTGTGGGATGCATCCGAGACGCCAATGTATCCAGCGGGGGCCAACAGTACTACATGTATGCAACGCCGAGCGCCCATCGGCACGTATACAAGCAATGAAAGTGATCACGATCCTTCTGCATCGGTAGAAACGAGCACCTTCATGAAGTGCCAAACAGTCGGCGGTCAGAGGACTCTAGTGCTAAAAGCATTCTTAGGGGATCTTGCGGTCGTGTTCAGAACTTATTGGCGTAGCACTAGATGTTCACCAAACAGTTTTGGATGTCGATTGTATGGACACATCATTTGATGCTTACAAGCAAGCAGTGGCTGATTCCAGGACCTTCTACCCGGTGTGGATCTTTGAGAGCAGATTTGACGCAATCCACCGTTAGATCAATTCCGGCGAGGGGGACCTGCCATCCTGCCGTTGTTTACTATACTCATCACGCGGGAATCGACGATGTGAGGAACCGACAATGAACATTCTTAGGGAACTTTGCGACCGTGTTTGGAACTTATTGGCGTAGCACTAGATGCTCACCAAGCAGTTCTGGATGTTGGTTATATCGACACATCATATGATGCCTTACAAACAAACTGTGGTCGGATCCCGGCCGCCATCCCCGGCATGGATCTATGAGAGCAGATTTGACGCAATCAACCGTTAGATCCACATCAGAGAGGCGGACCGGTCATGCTGCTGATGTTCAGTGTAGTCATCATGTGGGAGTTGACATCACAAGAACCCGACGATGTTCCGATTTGAACGTGCTTTTGCTTCGTGATGTGCAGGTGCTTACCGGCGGTGCGTTCGATCCCCTCCTCGACGTGAAGCAAAGTGCGAGGGAATTGCTCAAAGCTCACACCAGAAGAGGGATTGAATTCACACTTTGATGGAGAAGAAGGTGCGCACTCCATCAGCGCGATGATTTAATATGGACATTGGCGTGTCATTTGTATATTCCCGGAAGAAAATGCCATCAAATCTTTCTGTGTAGAAGATACATATTCATTCATACAAGTATCTCTTGTCATCGCAAACATCGAGATTAAAACATCTCAAGTTACCTAGTGTTTTCCCAAAGGTGAAGTCGCATAGCACAAGAACAGTTTCCAGAAATCATTCAATGCAAAAAATTCATTCAATGGCAAATCGCAAAGTACACAAAGATGTTTCCAAAAATCATTGAATGTAAAATATCATACAATCCCCCATTGCAAAGTACATGGAGGCTTTCCAAAAATCACAAAGTACATGGAGTCAATTCCACATTCGGCAAAACACGACTCAAACCAGAATCTTTTTCGTGATTTATCCATTCGTCGATAAGACAGCAGGCCTGTAAAAAACAATATCATTTTGTGCGAACTTGCGTAAATGATCAGTCTTCCACTGATAACACAGAAGGTAATAATTTCGGCAAATCATCCATTTTCGCGAACGCCTCATATCGATCCTTCAACGCCAAACAACGTCGAAACATATGGGCCAAACACACATACATTCTCGGAATAGTGCAATTGATGATCATTTTGCCGAACTTGCAGTTATGAACAAGCCGGCGGCGTTGACAACACAAAAAGTAATCATTTTGGCAAATTTGTGGACATGAACGGTTTAATCACAAATGCACGGTATCCAAAGTGTGAATACGTTTGCATTTCTCATACGGAAACAACAACCAGCATTCCGTGGAGAGCACGAAATGTATTATGGGGATAACCAAATTGGTAATCATTTAGTGCATCGCTCAATCCGTAAAACAACTTCAACCACACATACATTCTGGTGATAATTGGTTTCCGAATGGAGAACAAGTTCGCAATTGTCATTAGGAACCAACAGACAACATTCAGTGGAGACAAGCAGAGAGGGTGAACCGTAAAACGGGGCGGCACACGCAGAACAAGGGCGAGCCAAAACATGTGAAAGTTGGGCGGTCAGGGTGGGGCGGGGGAGGGGGGCTTTCACACCACAAAGTCTCGCGAAATAAAGAGATAAGCACGAAACAATTTGGCGACCAAGAATAAATCGTTGATATCTTTCACCAATATCTTGCTAAATGAACCAGAGTATCGAGCCCCACGAGCATGAGTGTAAACAATGTCCACAAGAGGACGAAGACGTCCCATGAGTAACAGAGGAGCACAACCTCGAAACGAACAAACGCAGTACGGTACTGCCGCGGTCTGTGAGGACATAAGGAGAAGAACCCGAAACTAAACAAAGGGAGCACAAAGCTGCAATATTCACATCCGATATGTAAGCGTCTACTTAAAAGATATTGCACCACCTGGCTGGGATATTTACATCGGCATCTAAGATTCTACTTCACGTAAGCGTCCGCTGCAACCCTCTAGCTGATGTTCCGCGCCAAGCAATGAGAACAACCCGAAAACAAACATAGGCAGCACGGCGCTGCCGAAAGTCCTACGAGTAAAGATGACAGGTTCCTCGAAATGAAGAACCCTTTAAAAATTGCTACAGCACGAGGCTGGGAAATTAACATCGACACCTAAGCGTTTACTTGACCAAAACGTCCACTGCAATCCGGTTCTTTATCAAGACACCAGCACAGCTCGAACCGGCCGAAAGTAGATCAAGTGGGAATAGATTCGCACTTCTGCTTATGGCCTTTCGAATAAAAAACTACGCGTATTTTAACAACAGAGATATTATTCATAGCCTTAGAGTATGTCCACCGCAATCCTCAGCCTGATGTTTGGAATGTCGCTTTGGGTTATAGGAAATGGTGACGGATAGCCGCGTGCAAGAAGTGAAGGCGAGCATAAAAACACCGCAGCTCGACCCGTCCGACTGTTGAGGGACACCACGAACAACAACCTTGGGCTCCGGGAGATCCAGTTTCATTTTGTGACCATATTGACAAACTGTTCATCACGAAGGTATTGCATGAAGTTCACAAGCACACCGGAAGAAAAACCGCCATCGTCTTGTAGGAGGGAGTAGTAGCACTCCAACTCTTGTTCTCGGACACATATAGGGTGCAATGCACTCGATTTTTATGGACAGGAATCAAGACCATGTTGTACGAGAAAATATCCACATCTTTTGTCCATCTTGCAACGCTTTCATGTCGATAGCCACCACCGACGAGCTTGGTATAGAAAAAGGGACTGAAGATGTAAACAGAGGGACCCCCAGGGAATGCAGCGTTGCCAAGCAAGGCCATGTACGACTCCACCACCTCGTCGAAAAACCATTCCCCCTGGATAAGAGTTTGAAGACTTTTTCTGGTCACCGGAACTGAACTGGCCCCTTTGCGAACCGAGGAAACCACCTCGTAGCCATTGTTAAAATCTCCGCAGACGTCCTGCAACTTTCTCAAGTCCGTAGCGCTAAGCTCCTCAGTAGGCAAGGGAACGCGAAGACATGATGTAGCCCCAGTTGCACAAACACCCAAGAACAACTTGGAACAAGTGTGAGGAGTTACCAAAATCACCGGGGCGAAATGGCTAAGCACTGTTTGCCCTGTTCCCAGAAAGTTGTATCCCCGACTGTTGAATATGTCCTTGGCGATGTACTTAGGACACGGGTCTTTCAAGACACCCCGTTTGGCATCGTCATCAGACCCATCAGACAAAGAAGTAGCGCTTTTAATAGATGCAACCAAATATTTCTGTAAAGCTTCCTCCTTATCTATTCCACAAGCCTTCAGAACACTTACAGCTCTCTGGGAAAGGCAAGGCATCTGGACCCTTTTAATTAACCCTACACTTGACGACTTTTTCGGTAAAGCGGCCAATGACCTCCCTGAAATACATTTCTCGCGCACGGCTTTTAAAGGCTTCATGGGCAGGGACATTGACAACCTCACACCTGTAGAACATATAAAACAACGTACAACCCACAAACTTTTTTTTAACAAGTGGTAATAGGTACATGAGCCCATCATATCAATTTGGACGAACACAGAGCTGGTTAGTGACAAATATGCGAGTGGTCCTACTCACAAATCTTACCATTCTCGGGAGCCCTTTGAGGGAAATCGCCCTCCTGTTGCGCCATGGCGCCAACGTCCACGGACGATTCGACGTTCTGCACCTCGGCCACGACTGTGTCGCTAACCAGCTCGGTGGCAGCTGAGTCGCTAGGCAAGTCGATGGCTTCATGAAGCACCATTTCCCGACCGGTACTGAGGACAGACACTCGATCACCTTGTTCTGCACCGCAATGGGTGGACGGAGAATCATGATATTTCCGCTCAGGATCCATCTTGATGCTGACGGCCACCTCACCACCTTTCATGGAGGATTCGACGTTCTGCACCTCGACCATGCCTGAGTCTCTAACCAGCTCGGTGGCAGCCGAATCGTTACCCAACTCTTTGGCAGTTGAGTCGTTGCCCAACTCTATGGCTTCATGAAGCACCATTCCCCGACCGGTACCGAGGACAGACGCTCGACCACCTTGTTCGTCACCGCAACGGGTGGGCGAAGAATCATCATCTTTCCGATGTAGATCCGTCTGGATGCCGACCGTCACCTCACCTCCTTCCACCACGGGTTCTCCGCCTTTCTCATCGCCATGAACTCGAGCTTCCACCGCGGGTTCTTCTTCGCCTTCATCATCGCCAAGAACGGGAGCTTGCACGAACGTGCACTGACCTCCCTTAACGACACGGTCGACACCCTCTCACGTCGTGGCCACAGCCGAACGACTGTGCAGAACCTCTTCGGACGTCCCGATCACCAACACTCCTGTGTCGAGCCCCTTCACGACTTCGCGAGTCGGCCAGTGTTGAGTGTCCTCTTCCCGCTGCAGAGCATGCGTTTCCCCCGAAGCTCCTGCACTCTCGCTGTCAGTGTCCACGGACGCACCCTCGGAAGCATGACGTTCACACTCGCTACCCCCGCTCTCCAACACTTTGTGAGACTGCAAGCGTTGAGTCTATTCATCTTGGTATACAGCACGCGTTCCAGAAGAGCGCTCCTCTTCCCCACTAGCCGCTGCACTCTTGCTACCAATGTCGACTAGCGCACCCTCCGAAGCATGACGTTCGTACTCGCCAACCCCAGTCTCCAACACTCCTACAGCGGGGCCCTCCAGCAAGTCGCGGGACCGCCAGTCTCGAGTCTCAACATTTGAGAACGGAGGTGGGCAGGGGAACCCTGTGCCCAACTTAAGATGCGGGGGGTAGAACGTCAAATTTTCTTGGCCCCGTGGAACTGTAGCTTGAGGAGCACTTCTGGTGGCAAGCCTCCAGGGCGATGTCAACAACTTTGAATCTATTCGGAGTTTGTGGCGCTCGCCCGAGCTGAGGGAACTGAAGGTCGCACTTTCCCTCCTTCGCAATGCAGGCATCCTGCCCTCCAGGCAAAACGAAGACGCAGTTCCTTTCAAGGAATATTCTCGCCGCTCAGGAGATGCTGCCGTATGCTGCAGACGTCCGCCCTCTTTCAGGAGCACGGTGGTAGGCACAGGAGACCTCTGTTGCGCACGGTGGGATTGACTCTCCACGGCATCAGGAAACAAAGTCCTTGCAGACAAGTGCGAATCTACTCGCACTTGATCAGAATTCAGGGTGGCCACGTCTCGCATGTCGGAATCTCGACTCCCTACGCAGTGGGCGTCAGTTACCACATACTCGGGACTCCCGGACGTTCTACGCTTTCCGCCTGACCCCTTCCCGCCAGACCCCTTCCCGCCCGACCCCTTCCCGCCCGACCCCTTCCCGCCTAACGCCTTCCCGCCCGACCCCTTTCCGCCCGAGTCCTTTCCGCCTGACCCCTTTCCGCCGAACGCCTTCTCCCCCCACGATGTTTCGCTTGTCCCCTTTCCGACAAATTGTGAGCCGTTTCCTCCGCCCCCCCCGTCGTCTCCTTTGTCTCCCCCTCCACCCCTTCCCAGATGCTGACTGCCCGACGGAGGTTGCGGCATGCGTCAGTCAATGCCACGAGACGGTGCCGTTTCGAGTGTGTAGAAAGGCGCTCGAACTCCAACATGTTGTTGGCGTACAACTCATTTAGCCTTTGCTCTACATACGCAGCGACGTCCGGATTGCTCCTTTCGGGGTTCATAAAACTCAAATGCTCCACCAGAGCATCTCTCGCCTTTCTCTTAAATGAACCCGCTCCCAGTCTCTTCATTCCACTCCACTTGCCATGGGCATCCTTCATTGCCATGACCCACTTTCCATTCTTCACAGCAGGTTGGAATATCCTCGGGTGCTAGACGACGTTGTGTCCCCAGACATCCTCCGGCGTGAACCGGTGATGCTTGCCAAAGAAGAAGAGTCTCTCATTCTCCCAGGTATCATGGTCCACAGAAAGCTTATCACAAGGTTCGTAATCATAGTCTCTCTCTTTCTCCCCGTCATCAGACGATTGGTTATCGACTGGTTCGCACCGAAACACACGCTTCAAACTGGCAAGGGATGTGCTATATCTCCGAGGACCACCTTCCCCTTCATCACCAACCTGTCCAACCACCCGAGGAAGTGGCATGGACTCGAAATCGAAGGTCTCGGAGTCGCTCAACTCCTCCATGTCTTCAACGTCGAAAGGGTCCTCCTCGTCAAACTGTGCCTTGTAGTTTTTGAGGGTGAGCGGTTCGGCCATCAAGAAGTAAACGTGCTCCAGCCTTTTCAGGAAATGCGAGACAGACTCCCTGGGTGCATCGTGGTACGCATTTACCACACCGAACACCAGGTTTCTCCGTCGACTGTATTCGAGGTCGGTTTGAGCAGGCGGTCCGGGTTGGAAAAGGAAGTCCCAAACCTCCGTCCTTTTGTTCGCCGACAATTTCCAATACATGTCATATTTGGGATCCCTGTTTCGTTCGCCGGTGGTTTGGACAAAAGTGCAATCATTGCGAGTATCTGCCACGCGTGTCTTCACGAACTCGTTAAGGTAATCGATCATCTTCGCCTCGTTCTCCAACGCGTCGACGTTCCAACCATTCCGCAGGAGCTCCCACACGACAGACGCATGCGCCTTCCCAAAGATAAAAATAGTTTGCCCAACTTTGCAAAAGTTTTCGAGTAGACAAAGTAGATGGGACGGGTTCCGCTCCCTGTCCCTGTAAGCAGGTCCACGAACACTTGTCACGCCGCCTCCTCCCACAGGCTACGAGGGAACCTGTCCTCGTACGCCACGTTGAAACACGCCACAACCTGTTCTGATGGGTCCGATGAACAGACAGCTTTCGAGCGGGCCGCCACCTCGTGTTTGGTCGGACTTGGACCATGGGCACGGGAAGCCTTTGTCGGGCTACTGGCCGGGTAGACTGCGACTGTGTTGTTTGTCAGGTTCTCGCCATTGAAAATCATGTACAGGCGGTCACACTCCTCAACCAGCATATTGCCTTCCTGGACAGTGGCTGCTTTTGTACATGGCGCACCCCCTTCCCTGTCCTGACGTGATGGACACTAAGCCTGGCCATGCCTTTCAAGAAACTGAGCGCCCAACGAGCGGGGAAAAAGACCACAAGTGCCTAGTGCGTTGGCGACAGTGTTTGGAGAATGCCTTGCAAGTTGGAGAAATCGTCTTCTTGCCAGTCTGCGAGGAGTGTGGGATCACACAAATCGAGGACGTACAGGTTGCGCACGTAATGTCGCACAATCTCACGGATCTCAGTGATACGACTGTGAGCTTGGGAAGGCAGGCAAGCGAAAGGAATAAGGTTGGTCACCTGGTTGAGGTTGTGCCATTTGATGTGCCTCACATCCCCGCTGACCCTGATCGTGTCTCGAACTTCTTCTTCCGTCCGTCGTAATATGGAACGGACAAACTTTTCGAAAGATTTAGGGAACCTGTCATCCTCGTACAATCTCTTCGCGTCGTCGAGAGACTCCTTCTCGTGCGGAAGAGTACGTTTGCAAGTGTTCACGTACTCTTCCACGCCCTGCGAATGCTTTCGCACTGCGAATGCTTTCGCAGTTCGACCCACACTTGTTTCGTGAGGCCCTGCGGCCCGAACTCCTCCAGAAGCCGCCCCTCGATCCGGAAAAAATGGCTCCCGTAGCACCAAACATCTTTGTCCTCCTCCGTTTCAAGGAACAAGATGTAATGAAACATACGGAGCATCACGCGGTCCACTTTCCTCGTCGCGATGATGTCTTTAATTCCAGGTTTATGTTGACGTTTCAGATGCCCGCTAGCCGATTGCACGAACACTCCCCTTAGTGCGAGAATGTCGTCGAGGATCGAGAGTTTCTCGACATCGGTCATGTCGGCGAGACACTGCCAACAGAACATGTCTGGCTCCTTCACGACCACGAAAAACTTGTCGTCCGCTTGTGTTTTCTTTTTGGTCTGAGGCGGTGGGACCCGGACCAGCCACCCCATCTTTATTTCACCAACCGCCCCTTTCGAGCCCATTTTTGGAATTGCTTGAAGACCCGGAGATTTGTCTGGCATGTGTTTGCCCGGCCTCGACAATGGCGTCTTCCCGTCACTGCCAAACAACTTCCCCTCCGCCCATTTCTCGTAGAAGACCATGCCTTTACGGAAAACGTTATCACCGGCCGTCACGAGCGGCATCCACTGCCTCAATGCATTGCCAATGGCAGCGACATATTCCGTGTCGGCAAGCGTTAGCGTTTTTTTGCCAACGTCCAGTGAGCGTCGTTCGGACTCTTTCCCAAAAGCAGCTTTTGGAATTTGAAAAACGCTTGTTTTTCGGCCTCCTTGCCGGAAGGGTTCCCTTGAATGACCACCGGCCTTCCTTCATTCTCCCATGTCTCCCGCATATCCTCGAACGCGGCTTTCTGCGATCGCTGCTTAGACATCTTGTGTCTCGTGTTCTCGTTGAGACTGACCTGCACATACCTCGCGAAATCTTCGTCGGAGAACCACACTACTCTTGCCGGCCACGAGTGCATCTTCCACAATTCGAATATTGGCTCATCCACCAGCTCCTTCACAGCAGCCACGGTGTGTTGTCCGTTGACAGGGTAATAGTAGTACTTGTCCTTGTCCTCTGGCTTGAAGACATCTTTGTGAACCCTGTCAGCTTTCTCCGGCCTATGTGTCACCGGCTTGTAGATGGGTGCCATAACCAAAGGGTTTTTCGTCCAGATCTTCCCCTTTTCCTTGTGGAAGTGACTTAGCATCGCAGCCTTGATGTCCTCTGCATTTTCACGATTGAGACTACAGTGGTTGTAATATCTTTCCCTAGGCGGGATGTCGCAGACCTTCCTGGGGTCGATGAGCAGTTGGACGGAGAGCTCCTTCTCCACGATATCACCGTCATCGTTCCGCTCGTATTCGAGCCAGAACGCTGCCGCTTCGTCGTACTGCCCACCGACACTTCGTTCGCCACCGCTCGCCGCCTCAGCAGTCTTCCTCCTTCGAGGTTTCTTTTGGCCATCGCCTTCTTCAGCTGCCACTTTCCTTTTGGATTTACCCGAAGGTTCTCCCGCGGCCGCAACGCCTGGATGAGCCGAATCTCCTCCACCCATGGCTTGTCCTTCGCGGATGGTCAAACCGTCGGGCCCCCTCGCTTTCTTACTTGTCGTCGCGCCCTCTTCCTTCGACGTCCTCTTTACGACTCCATGTTCTTGTCCGCCACGCATCCCAGGCGCCCTCTTTCCCGAGGCACATTCTCCGACGTCACCTCCATCCCCGCCCATCACCGGCTCCGATTGCCCTTTAATCCTCTTCATGCGGCGGGTTTCCTCCACCACCTCCTCTCGCACCATCCTCTGTCGCTCGCGCTTCTTCTCCGAAGAAGTCGGCTCCCCGCCAAAGCTTTCGCGTACATCGCCCATCCCTTTAGCCTCACTCCCTCCAACCTCTTGCCCCGATCTGCAGGATTCTCTTCCTGTCTCATCTCGAAGTGAATACGTGTCGCCCTGGCAGCGGACCTTGAGGATTTTCGGAGTTCCGGCCTGGAGAGTCCCTGCATCTGGAGAATGCAAGTCTGACGTGTTCCCAGGAGCATCCGGGCCGAACTGCGTGTGAATTTTGCGCGTGTGCCCGTTGCCACGACCCTCAACGTCGTGAATCGCACTCCCGTGCCCCACTGGCGTCTCAGCAGTTTCTTGAACCAAGCCGGACGACCCCTCATGGGCTGGCAGAAGCCGGAAAACATATTCTCGCGAAAGAACCGGGCGTTCTTTCGGCACCTTCAGCATGAGACCGAGGTATTGCACTGGCAGTGGAAGATGCTTGCCATCGTAAAGCCCTTTGAAGTGAGGGCACAGCATCATGTTCGAGCCGTAACCCGCGAAACTCTTGAAGACCACTATCACACCCTTAACATCTCTGAAAGGCAGTTTGCACTGATCGTACAAGACGTTAGTCTGCAGCTTGAGCAAACCTCCAGAAATCTTGTCGAACGAGACGATGGTACCGAGAGGAAGAACGTCGTTCGCTCCCTCAGCGCCCGGAAAGCAAGTGGGTCGCATGAAAACAGCTGGCCTAAAACAGTTCACCTGAACAACGAAGTCCAAAAACCATTGTGCTTCCCTTGTATGGAAATACAGAGGAGTAGATTGTTGAAGAGGTCATCCCTCCCAGGGGCAGATGGCCCAGCGCTTGTGGATGTGTTCTTTGCGGACGCCGTTGTACTCCCACCCGTTGACTAATGCACACGAAGTCACAACAATTGGGTAAAGGAGACGAAAGGCAGTAGTCCTCTGGCAGAGTGACTTCGGAGGGAAGACAACAGCTCCACAGAAAGAGTACGAACGAACTCGCTGTCCTAGAATCGAGGAAGAGGTGATTTATCTTCAGGAAAGTGCGAACTAACTTAGAGTTCAGGGAATGAAGTAGTCTACAACAAGTACCGCATGGGTTTCAACAAGGGGGGACCAACGTGCAGTTTTGGGCAGAAGGAAACCGACAAATTAGATTGGTGTTTGAAATGCAAACGAAGTCCAAACAATTGGGTAAAGTTGAGGAAATACAACACTCCTCTGGCAGAGTTAGTTCGGAGGGAAGACAACAACTCTTCAGAAAGATTGCGACCGGACTCGCTGCCCTCGAAATGAGTAGGATGTGGTTTATCGACAAGTGCGAAGGGTATCGACAAGTGCGAACTAACTCGCAGTTGTGGAGACAAGACAACAATTGTCATCCGCAGTACTGGAAACGTGAAAGTCACGTTTAAGAAAAGGCGGCTTATCTTGGGAAAAGTGCGAACTGACTCGCAATATATATATATATATATATATATCGTCACAAATATAACTGCCCAGTAAACCGTAGGCAGAGAGAGAGAAGAGGACAACAAACGAGGGGCTGTGACAAACTGTTTCGTCGGAGTTTCACCGACTTATAAGAAGGCTGAACCCTATCTATCTATCTATCTATCTATCTATATATATATATATATATATATATATATATATATATATATATCGTCACAAACAGAACTGCCCGGTAAACCGTAGGCAGAGAGAGAGAAGAGGACAACAAACGAGGGGATATCAGGTCGGCGGCCTCACAAGGGAGAGGTGAGCGAAAATCGGGAATTGATTCGGTGTTCAGTGTAGAAACTAGGTATTGAATCGGGGCTCACCATGCGCAGTGACGATGACAAGTTGCGAAGGGAATCAAGCAGCTTTATACAAACGTTGTCATGGCTATGCCGAAAGGTCATCGAGCTGCGAAACGTGGATCGGCTATGGCGGACGGAGGTGGAGGGTGGAGAAAAGACATCAGAACACGTCCGCTGGCGAAACAACAAAACCGGGAATTGATTCGGGGTTCAACATGCGGCAACTACGGCGTTATATCCTGCAGGTAGAGACGGGGCATCAGGGAATCTGTTCGGACATCGGACACAGAACAGGACAACTCAAGTTACAGAATCTTACCTTCGTCGTGCGTTGAGCGAGCGACCAACGTTGGACGGATATGGATGTGCGACCACCGAACCAGCTATGGTGGAGGGATATCGAGCTAGGAAGAGCACACCTGCTATGGCGAATGATAATCTAGCCACGAAGAGCGAGCTATGGAGAACGAACCGAACATAATGCGGCAACTGCGGACGGAGTGAAGAGCGAAGAGCAAACGGGCTATGGAGGAAGGAGGTGGGGGATGAAGACAAAATATCAAAACGCGCGCCGAAACGATAGCACGACTTGACCTGTGGAGCGACAACAAAAGGGATAATGCGAGGGCGGCAACGCCTTTTATACTTTCCTGCAGCAGGTCTCGCGTCGGGATCAAGGTGGGGCCGTATCGATTCGCATATCGCACGCCCGGACCCATAAAACGCCAGGGCCTATAAAGAGGTAAGAGGTACTAGAAATTGTCACCCGTCGATCAACAATTTTCAACGGTGTAGATGAACGGAGCCACTGACATGCCAGTGGCCCCAAAATCTCCGTCAATTCCGACATGCAATGATGTGACAGTTCCAGCAAACAAGGGGCAAGCAAGGTCATTTTCGCAGTTGTAATCTGGACCGTCGATCGGCATGATCCTACGCACGAGGTCAGGCGCAAGAATCTATAAGGCGCGGCGATTCGTTGTGCATAGAGGCGGTTCGCTGCGCGCCGAGGCCAGGCGACGGTTTATTTCGCGCCGAGGCGTGGCGATTCGTTGTGCGCCGAGGTCAAAAACACCGGAAATCTATAAGTTCCAGTGTCGTTGTCATTCAAACATTTTGCAAATGTCAACGACGTTGGATATCGATGCGCTTAGCCATGCACCATTGCCATCGATGCACTTAGCTCATCGCCATCGCCAACGCTCGCCATGCACCATCACCATCGATGCGCTTAGCTCATCGCCATCGCGATGCGAAGCTATATCCCCCATCGCAGCCGTCGCGCTCGCCTGACCATCGCAGCGCTGACAATCGCCATCGCTCCCATCGCAGCGCTGGCCATCGCTATCGCTGCCATCGAGGTGCTGGCCATTGTAACGCGTTCCATCGCTGCGCCATCTTTCTCATCGTCACGCCATCTCTCTCCATCAGTGCGCCATCGCTCTCCACCGCAGCGCTGCCCATCGCTATCGAAGCCCTGACCATTATTATCCCATCGCAGCGCTGGCCATCGCTATCGCTGATTTGTTGGGCACCTTGGCGCCTTCGCGATCTCTTCTCCATCGCTCTGCGATTTCTCTTCATCGCTCTTGCGCGATCTCTCTCCATCGTCGCACGATCTCCCTCTGTCATTGAGTGATCACTCTCTATCTCACTCCATCACTGCGCGATCTCTCTCGACCACCAGGCAACCTCCATCCTTCCGCTAGAGGCTCTCCATTACTCCTGCGCGATCACGCCATCGCCATTGTATTGTGGGTTCAGGCCGTCGTCGGTGCAGCCGCCGATCACTGTGGAATCGCACGAAACAAGTGACAGGTATGCTTAACGAAGGTTTAACGCGATGGATATCACTTTGATAATGGAACTGATGTTGTACAATAACTAATATTGGTCATCGTTGCGCCAACTCTCTCCATTGGCGCGCCATCTATCTCCATCGATGCGCCATCGTTAACCATCATTGTGCCTTCTCTCTCCATCGGTGCGGGATCGCTAACCATTGTTGTGCGTCCTCTCTCCATCTCTCTCCATCGGTGCGCGATCTCTCCCGACCTTTCTTCATCTCTCGACCTTTCTTCATCTCTCGACCTTTCGTCATCTATCTCCATCGCTGCGCTATATTCCCCAATCTATCTCCATCACCGCGCCATCTATGTCTTTCTCTCTCATTCGGTGCGCCATCTTTCTCCATTGTTGTGCTATCGCTAACCATCGCTGCGCCTGCTATCTCCATTGCTGCGCCATATTTCTCCATCGGTGCGCAATGTGTCTCCCTCGCTGCGGCATATCTCTCAATCTGTTTGCGAACTCTTTCCCTTCTTGCGCCATCAACCTTCTTCCCCGGAATATACAACGCACATTCATTATAGTTGTTTTTAGACTGAACGAAACTGGGACTTATGGACTAAAGAGTAACAAATTTAGGGAGATGGTTGGTTGAAGAGCGAATAAATTTGCATTTGCAAATGGGCATTTCCATTACGAAATCGGGGGTACAAGTGTGAGTTAATTCTGACCTATCGACTAAACAGTAACAAATTAAGGGGGCTGGTTAGTTCAAGAGCGAATAAATTCGGACTTGCAAACGAGCATTTACATTACGAAACTGCGGGTACAAGTGCAAGTTATTTTCGGTTTTTTCTGCGTGTAGTACGAGCCACAGATCGTCGCAAGAGAGAAATGGGGAAAGATGGCGTACTATTTTTTAAGATTGAGAAAGATTGCGAAGCGATGGGCAGACGGCGCACCGATGAAAATAGATGGCGAGCGATGGCGCACCGATTGAGAGAGATGGCGCACCAAGAGAGATTGATGGAGTTACAGCCTTCCCCCGAATACAACGTCCGGTCATTACAATTCGCACTTCAAACGAACATTTCAATTACGCCGTACAATAAGAAATTACCTTCGTGGTTGGTTCAGTGGCGAGTTAACTCACAAATAGAAAAGGACTTAATTCTTCTGGGCCGAGAAGAGACGCGACTTCACTGCTCGAGTGCTTCGATTTCGAGACTGTGAGTACAAGTGCGAGTTAATTCTGACTTATCGACTAAAGAGTAACAAATTTAGGGGGGATGGTTGGTTGAAGAGCGAATAAATTCGCACTTGCAATTGTTGTTGTTTAGTGGATAAGACTTAATTGACTCGCACTTATACCCTCAGTTTCGAAATCGAAATGCTCGTTTCAAGTGCGAATGTATTCTCTCGTGTTCCAACCAGGAACTTAATATCTTACTGTACGGTGAATAAGTACGAATCAGCTCGCATTTGTACTCTCGCCTGAAAAAGAGCGAGTTTGCTCGGACATATTCAAACCACTTGCACACTGAACGAGTGGGAGAGGAGTCGGACTTGAGATACCACTTGAGCTTCAAATCAGGGTCCGACAAAACGATATGGATTCAAATGTTGTTGTTCCACTGTTTTGTGATAAATATTAGAAATGCGAGCTTACTCCCTCTTGTTTATTTCCCTGACCTCGTCATACGTTGACGTGATTTTCTTGTTGTACAGTTTTCGTGTGAATCGTCTCTTCAAATGGGTGTTGAATCCGTCGACTGTGTCACGCCACCACCACCGTCACGACACCACGGAGAAGACGATGTTCGAGAACGTAGTTCTTGTGACAGCAGCCCGGAAGCTCCCCCTGATCGGCATTGCGGTTTGAAAAGGGAGTTCTCGATATTGACCCCGACGAATCATTCAGGCCCGTCTACGACGTCCGCTCGACGTCGTTTTGTTCGCTTTATCGACGTTCTCGACGGTCAGCGCGTATCTACAACGCGAATCCCCGGTAGTGAGGGTATTCGGGATGTCGAGACGTTTCCCGATGGATGAATGTTCGTGGACACAAATTTTTGTGGTGTGTCCGAAACGACTGGAACAGATCTCATGCGAACAGCGGGTAGACTGTCTGAAAGCGTTGAAGTTACCCAACCCCTAGCATTTGACTACCGTCGGTCGTTGGTGGATACAAACTTTTGTGGTACGCCCGATAAAAACGGATATGATCGGGAACAGTGGAGTGCATTTGGTAGAAACGGGTCTGGTAGGG